AATGTTCCTAAGGCTGGCCAAATAGCTCAGTGGATTAAAGCACCTGCAAGCAGGAGCAGGGGCTGGGGTTCAATCCCCATCCCCAGGCCTGCCGTGCTGGCCCCGCCCCCCCAGGGGTGTTGAGATGGCAATTCAAACTGGGCGTGGTGGTGCATGCCTGTGATCCCAGCTCTTGGGAGGCTGTAAACAGGAAGATCACTATGAGTCTGATCTAGTAGTGAGACCCTGAACACCCTGTAGACCCTTCTTTAACTAAAATACAGAAAAAAAAAAAAAAAAAGTGTTCCTGGCAGCTGGGCTTCACAGTACACACCTGTAATCCCAGCATTTGGGCGTCTGAGGCAGGAAAATCACTGTGCGTTCAAGTCCAGCCTGGGCTACACAATGAGTTCAAGGCTAATCAGAATTACGTAGCAAGACCCTGTCACAAACAAACAAATAAGCAAACAACCTTACAACAACAAAGAAAAAGAAAAGAAACAAAAACATTCCTGGAGATGATAAAGCATATTCTATAATGATGATAAGAGGATCAATCTTCCAGAAAGTTATAAAAATTATAAGCACTGGTGCACCTAACAGCATAGCACCGAAACGCATGAAACAAATACAAAATTGAAGGAAATAAGGGCCGGCCAGATAGCTCAGAGGACTAAAGCATCTGCTTAGGCAGGTGCAGCGACTGGGGTTCAATCCCCAGTGTGCCATGCTGGCCCTATACCCAGGGTGCACTGAGATGGAGAATGAGACTGGGCATGGTGGCACACGCCTGTAATCCCAGCACTTGGGAGGCTGAACACAGGAGGATCGATATGAGTCTGATCTGTGTAGTGTGACCCTGTAGACCTTGTACTAAAATACATTTTAAAAAACTGAAGAAAAATAGAGTCAACTTCAATATCCTTACTTAAAATAATGGCTAGAAAAACTAGCAAGAAGGTCAATAAGGCAAACAGCTAGCAACAAAGAGAGCTAGTAAAGATCTACAGAATACGTCACTTGCCGTCAGCAGGGGGCCTCCTCTAGGGCACACAGGACAGCGTCCCAGACAGGCCACAATGAACTCTGAAGTAAATCACAAGTTCAGAAGGGATGAAAACATTCCCCAGCTATTCTCTGACCACAATGGAATAAAGTTAGAGATCATTAAACCATATCTGGAAAATACACGAATGTGTCAGTGTCGAACAACATGCTACTCCTAAATGACCCATGGGTCAGAGAAGAAATCACAAGGAAGGTTAAAAAATACACCATGATAAATGAACATAAGGATACAGCATTCTAAGCCTTGTGGCTCAAGCTCAGAGGGAAATTCATTGCTGTAAAAATCTACATTAGAAAGGGATGACGTAAAGGGCCAGGGATGTAGCTCAGGGGCATAGTGCCTGCCTGGCAAGCACAAGGTCCTAGTTTGATTCCTGGTTACCAATAAAATAAAATAAAGTGAGTCATATAGTCTTCCAACTCAAAGAACAAAGAAAAGAACAAACTAAACCTATGCCAGCCTCAGGCAAGGAAATAATAAGGATCAGAACGGAAGACTGAAAGCAAAGATTTAAGGCTGAATTGTAATCCACTGTTTAGAGAGACCACATTTGCTGGTGTGCCATCTATCAGTAGGTAACAACAGGGTTGCTTCCACCTTTGTGCTATTGGGGATGTGCTGCTTCAACTGTGGACCACTGTCTCCCTCTTTAAAAAGAAAGGAAATTCTGACCCATGTTACAGGATGGATGAACCGGAAGACAAACTAAGGGAAATTATCCAGTTGGTAAAGGACAACTACTGTAGGACTCTATGAGGCCCCCAGAGCATCAGATTCACAGAGACAGAAAGCAAAATGATGGCCATGAGGGGGGTGGGAGGGCAGAGGGGGAGTCATTGCTTAAAGGGCTCAGTTTTATAAGAGAAAAAGAATTCTGTGGATGGAGGGTAGTGAGGCCTACACGATATAAATGCACTCCACTCCATTGAACTGCTTAATTCAGGAATGGTTCAGATGGTCAGTTTTATTTTATGTTTTATCTATTTTTTATCAATAGATATTCTACCACAATTTTTTTAAAAAAAAAGCCAGATTAGAGTGGTAAGTAATAAAATAGAGAACAGAAAACAACAGAAAAAAATCTCCTAAATCAAAAGTTGATTCTTGGAGAGGTTCAACAAAATTGGCAAATCTTTAGCTAGAGTTATCCAAGAAAAAGAAAAAAGCGAAGACTTATGTTACAAGTCAGAAATGAAAGAGGGGGGAGATTATTACTGACCTTACAGAAATAAATGGATTACAAGAGAATACCAGGAACAAGGATATGCTGACAAATTTGATAAAAAAAATATAAAACAGACAGATTCCTAGAAATACACAAAGTATAGTAACTGACTTAAGAAATAAGAGAAGACCAGATCAGATCTAGGAAAAGGAAAGAGACTGAATTGGTCATCAAAAATCTACCCCCTAAGGAATATCCTTAGAGGTGAATTCCACCAAATATTTAAAGAATAATTAATAATTGTTTTGTCTTTTCCAGAAAATAGAAGATGATCAAATACTTTCTATGTCATGAAAGCAGACACAGGGTACAAGACGGGTGAAGCTCGAGAACATTATGCTATGGAAAAGAAGCGGGGGGCAAATCTCATACGCTGCTCTATGATTTGTGTGGTTCTGTACACCTCAGAGTACTTGGGAGGCCGAGGCAGGAGGATCACTGTGAGTTCAAGGCCAGCCTGCTCTACAAAATGAGTTCAAAGCCAGCATGAATGACACAGTGAGACCCATTCTCAAAACACTAATGAATGAGTGAACAAACGAATGAATGAACAAATGAATGAACTACCTGCAATAAGTTCTGTTTTGAGTAGATAAAAAGACTATATAACTGACAGCTGCCTAACTGTGAACTGCTAAAAACCACTGGGGTTGTACATTTTAGATAGGTAAATTATTTAGCAAGAGAATCACATCTCAATAAAGCGGTCATCAAAAAAAAAGGTCATTCAATATGTCTACGTTCCGCACACTGAACTCCTTGATAACCTCTACTGAGGACACTTTCCTTCCACCGGTCTTGTGAACCTGTGCCTCACACAGCGAGGCACACAGGGATTGGACCAGCGCCGCCCCTGCCCCGCAGCTTGTGGCAGGCGAGCTGGATAAGCATCCATTCAAATTCCAGCCTGCCGAATGGCTGCTGCCACCCAGCATGGGCAGACTCTTCACCGTGACCCAGAGGAGCGAAGATTACCCAAGCTAGCATTTCCTGAGCACCCAACACTGCGCTGACCTCCATCCTCTTCCCACGCATGATGAGGGCTGGGAGATCTTTTGCCCTTCAGGGGTTCAGACAAAATCAGACTTGAGATGGGGACAAGAGAAGACCTCAACCTGCTCAGGAGAGGGTCTCAGCATGCAGTGGCAAAGACCCCAAGACCAGGCTTCTCGCTCACATTCTGCCCAGCCCCTCAACACCTCTTCAAGACAATGTGTTCAGCTGTGAAATGGGACCACTGCAGCAACACCTGCCAAGAGGTGAAGAGAAATGATCTTTCTAAAGAAAGCCCAACTCTGTCCTGCATGGCGCTGGGAGCTGGGGCCCTGTGCCGCCACATGTGGAAGACCTCTGGCCACCTGGGTTAAAGTCCTAGCTCCACCATCCCACACCAGTTCCTTCCTCACGCCCTGCACCTGTTTCCTCTGGCAGGTGGAGGCACTCAAGGTGGCTGTGAGCCACACAGGAGTACAGACAGGAGACGCATCTCCTCCACGGTGAGGCCCCACGCAGGAGGGTGTAGAGTGTGGTTGTGAAAGGCCCATGAGCACAGCCGGGGCTCTCAGGAGAGCACTCAGGGCACTGCTTATGGGTGGGCCACGCCGGAGCCTTGAGAACCACCCAGGTCCTCAGCTGTTGTTTGCCCTGTCCTTCTAGAGATGCTGGGGGTGGGGCAGGGGCCAAGTCCCAGCTGTGTCCCTGTGCCAAGGGCCTGTCATGTACTGAGTTTCTGGGGGGCACACCTCTCCGCACTGACACCAGTGGGTCAGCCAGTCTAGCTGGGTGGGGGTGGGGATCTCACCACCACACAGGTGAGTGCCTGGGGCTCTGCATTCCTAACAAATTCCTAGCACACACTGATGCAGCTGTGTCCAGCCCATGGATTCGATAGGCAGACCTGGAGCCTGGCATAGCTATTCCTGAGAAGCAACACATCTTGGCCTCCCAGGGCCCTGAACACAGCCCCACCCAACATCATCTGGAAGGTGACGCTCCATGGGTTTCCAGGGCTTCCAGGATTCCTTTGCCATTACATGCATAAAATAAAACTAGTACCACATTATAAAAAGTTGGAAAATCCGAAAAACTGTAAGAAAAAAAAACACCAATAATCTCACATTCTTTTTTAAAAGACACGTGGCTAATCTATCTCCCAGGATCACAAAGATGTCTCGCAGGCAGTCAGGGTCACCTTGGGAGTGGAGTCTGCTGGGTCACAGCACAGTGTGGGGTGGGGTGGGAGCCAATGTCCTGCATCTCCCAGCCTCCTTCCCCCAAGACAGATGCCCAGGCCCTCAACAGAAGGTCATCTCAACCTTTCTGAGGGGTGAAAAGTGAGGACAGGACCCCCTCCCCTTTCTCTACAGGCGGAGGGAGGCAGAGGTGGGGTCTGAGGGAGGGGTGCACATCTGGATTCCTGGCCCAGAGCCCGCATTCCTTCCTTGTGAGTGTGAGCAGCTGGGGCCTCCAGAGCGCTAGAGGAGACTACTGGCCCCAGGCCCCACCATAACAGGGCCCCTCCTACAGAAGGGCCGCTGGGGACCTGAAGGCCCAGAGCTTCAGATCCAGTGTCCCCCACTCAGACTGCTGTCCCACCAGCTGGATCCTAAGCTGGGCCTCAGTTCTGAGATGGGAGGAGGAGGCCGCAGCACATGCCCACCTATATAGCTGTGTCTGTCGGAGGCCCTGGGCTGCCGGGTACACGAGAGTCTCCTTCGGTCACCTTACCTGGGGACAGTCTTTGATGTAGTGGCCCTTGTTGAAGCACAGGTGGCACAGGTAATTGGGCGGAGGCCGCTTACTGGGCTTGCGGGCCTCAGAGCTGAGGGTCAGGTCCGAGAAGTGCTCGGTGAGCGAGCTCAGGCCGTCAGCGATGTTGTTGAGGGAGCCGTAGGGCGAGGCGCTCTTATACACACTGCTGCTCAGCGCCTGTGGGGACAGGGGCACATTGGCAGTGGTGGCTGGGGCTTTTCTTTGTCCCCATCCCTATATACACTAGCACAGCACCCTGAGCTGCCTAAAATCCTTGGCCTCCAGGAGTTCAAGTCCAACCCTAACTCCAGTGGGAGTCCTTTGGTGGCCAGTTAGCCACATGGGGCCTCAGTGGCTCTGTGTGTGACCCAAGAACACGACAGAAGCCTCGGAGAGTTTCTTCATTCAAAAATTTATTTATTTATTTATTTATTTATTTGGTACAGGGCCTTACTACGCAGTTCAGACTCACAGTGATCCTCCTGTCCCAGTCTTCCCAGCGCTTGGATTATAGGCGTGCGCCACCACACCCTGTACACCACCACTTCTGGTTCTGGGGCCTGCACAGCACGTGGTACCAGGGATCAAACTCAGGTCCTCGAGCTTATCAGGCAGGTGCTTAGACTGCCGAGCTATCTCCCCAGCTCCCCCAGGGAGTTTCTACCCATGCCTGACACTTAGGAAGCCTTCAGTTTGTGGTGACAATAACTGTGGTCATTGCTACTCTCAGCTCTTTACAGCTGCCACGAGGTGAAGAGGCAGGGGAACAGGTGCCAGTTAGATTTGGAGCCTTGCCACTCACTGCTGGAGGGACACGAGGCGAATCGCTGCTGACTCAGTTTCCCTCCTGACTCGGGGCATAGATTCCGTTTTAGAGAGGCAGATGGAAGCTTCGCCCTTGGCCTGGTCTCCTGTGCTCGGGAGCCCAGCCTGGCCCCGGCCATTCTTCAGGAGCCAGAATAAAGAAGTGGCCCACCTCTCCCACCTCCTGATGACAGGAACCAGACACTCCGCCAAGCGTCAAGGCGGACGCGGCCCAGGCCACCTCTTGCTGTACACAGCCTCTATTTATAGGCAAGGCGGGCTCCAGGCGGCCTGGCACGTAGGAGTCCAGGGAAGGTGGGGCCTGCGGTGAGGCGGGCACAGGATAGCTGTGGGTCCCTCTCCTAAGGCAGAGCTGAGGCTGCAGAAGCACAGACCTGGGCATGGAGCTTGGCATCCCTGGCACCAATGCAGGTGCTCAAGGCTACAGGAATGGGCTGTGGCCCCGGGGACCACGGCTGTGTGGTGAGGCTGTGCTCTCGGGAGTCTTCAGGCTGACAGGGCCCAGGGCCAGTGGAGAGAAGGCCTCACAGCAGGGGAAAACAGGGGCCCAACAGGGAACACTGTGCAGAGGGAAGGAGCACAGCTGAGCCCAGCGCCCACTGTGGAACACGCCCTCTCCTCCCCTGGCCTCTCGCCGCAGGTTCCTCCTCACTGTCTGAACCTTTGGGGGAGGCTGCTTCTCTCCTAGGGCACAAGACCCTCCTTATCGGGACACTGCTGTGTGATCCTGGGCCGGTGCTCTCCTCTCTGCGCTTCTGTTCTGACTCTTGTACTTTTCGACACCTGCCTGGAACGTGAGAGGAGAGACACCATATCCATGGTGCTCAGAGAGCACCTAGCTGTAGGGCAGCGACTGCATGGATCCTGGCAGCTGCCTCTGCCGTACGCTGCCTGGGTACCCAGAAGCTGAGAAGCGGGGAAGACTGGGGTGAGCCCGAAGCGCAGGGGGCCCCGCAGAGGGTGTACAGCTCTGGGACTTCACCTCCATGCAGATAGCAGTTCACACTGCACTGTGAGTCACATTCCCCATTCTACAGATTAGACAAGTGTGTCCAACTCATATTGAATGACTTGGGAAACTCGTAACCAAAACAGTTTTCTGGGCCCCACCCTAGGCAGACTCAGCACTGCTTGAGACCAAGGGCCTAGGATCTGTACGCTTCACCAAATGGCAAAACACGGCAATAAAAGTTACCATTGTGATGGGGGGGGTGGGGGGGTGGACATAGTACTGGGACTTGAACTCAGGGCCTTCTTACTCTGCTACATTCTCAGCTCGCTTTCTATTTTGAGACAGGGTCTCACTAAGTCCTTCAATTGCCCGTGCTGGGCTCAAAGTCACAATCCTCCTGTTTCAGCCTCCTGGCATGCTGAGGTCGCAGGCACTTGCCACGATGCTGGCTCGCTGTAAGGATCTCGCGGCATACAGCTCAGTGGTGACGGGCATATTCACACTGCGCAGCCTTCATCCCCGTCCAGAGCGTTTCCATCTCCCCAAACAGAAACTGCCCCTCCGGACACCAGCTCCTCGCCTTTCCCTCCCCTAGCCTGAATGTGCATGTCTCAGGGTTCCTGCAGTTTGGTCTCAGCAGCCAGGCCCCTAGGCCTGTCCTGTCCACCAGCCAGGCCTCCAACAAGGTCTCCAGCCCGGAAGACCCCACTGGCCTTAGTTCTGTGTGACAGACAAAGAAACTGAGGCCTGGGCGGTCCGGGTTCACAGGCCCCGAGCAGCCAGAGGGGGGCAGCAGGGCTGAGCTCCAACCTTAGTGACTCACCCTCGGCTGGGAAATGCAATTTCACAAATAACAACCGTCTTACCCACCCCCCAAACCCCCGTTTCCTTTTTCTTTCTTTTTTTCTGGATAGGATTTAAGTAAGTCCGCAGGAATCAGGGCTGGCTGTCTTGGCAGCAAGCTGTCAAGAGGAAGGGGAAGTTTGGTGGATGCCTGAAAGTACACTAATTACACCCTGAAATTCCTCTCCCCCAACTTGTGGCCACGTTCCCCTGCCCACAATGGCACTTGGGGTATCCCGGGCAGCTAGCGGCCTCCAAGCCGGCAGCCTCTCCATGGTGGCTCAGCAGCACCCACCCCTGCGCCCCCAGGATCATGACAGCTTTGTCCTTCCACACACAGCTTCCTGACTTCAGTGTCCTCCAGCCTGGGCCCACAGGCTGCTGGCCCCAGCCCCAGTTCAAGGCAAACAGAACCTCAGTGCCAAGGAACAGAGCACAGACTGCCGGCAGACCTTAGTTCTGTGTGACAGACAAAGAAACTGAGGCCTTGGCGGTCCAGGTTCACAGGCCCAGGCTGCCCTAACAGGCAAGTGGCCCCTTGCTTGGCCCGAGCAGGGTGGGCGGGGCAGCAAGCTGTTTCCTCTCCACAGCTGCGCTTGAGCTTGGGCCATGGAGGTGAAAGGCAAGTCCTGGCTGTTTTCATGGCCTGCGGGCACTGGACAGAGGTCAGCACACAGGACCGGGCGCTGGCCTCTTTGGTTTCCCATCTATAAAACATACAATGGAGCAGGAGGGGAGGCACACCTGACCATCTGCAGCCGTGCCACCCCTGGGCACAGGCATCCAGGTCCTGAGAGATACCCCAAGCCTGGCCCATGGAGGGTGCCCATCTTCCTTCTGCGCTAGGGCCAGGCAGACATGATGCCCCATCAGACAACCTCAACATGGCCACGGCAAGTGACTCCTCTCAGTGTCTCTGCTGAAACTCTTTTTCTCCCTGGGATGCATGCACGGCTCCTTCCCAGAATTCCCTTCTCTATGCCCACACGCACCCCCGCGGGACCCACCTCCAGGCCTGGCTCTAGCTCCCGCTCTGCAGCCTTGGAGCCCTCCTTCCCCAGACTCGGCCTCAGGGTCCCAGGAACAGTGTGAAGGGCTCAGATCCTTAGGGTTCTGGCCTCTGCCTAGGACCTGCTGCCCTGACCCCTGACCCCTAACCCCTGACCCCTGCTCCAGTGGGGGCCAGCGACCGTCATGCGATGCTGCCTGCAGCCGTTGTCTGGGATCATGCTATTACCTTGCTTCTCCCACAAGGCTGGGTAGGCCTGGAGGCACCACTCTGCTGGCTCCCACACTGGTTTTGCTGCGTCCTTATGCCTGTTCTTGTCCCAGGCTGGGAAGGGCCTGGATGCCCATGTGACAGGGAAGGTACCACCCTAAATAAAAGGTTTGGATTGGGGCCTCTGGCTTCCTGTGGATGGATGGGCTGCTGTGGGCATCAGGTGGTGGCTGGAGGCCACTTGGCCACATCTCCTTCCTCATGTCAGTGACCCTGGCAGTCAGGAGAAAGTATGGGATCCTCACCCCATGTCAAGAGACTGTCACCCTCCTGCCCACGGCTGGAACTTCTGCAAGGGTCTGCATGACTGCTGGGGAAAATGAGACAAGGTGACGCTAGAGTTGTGACTGTACGTGTATTGTACCCTGAACCACAGCCTCTCCCTGCCTTAGCTCCGTTTGCCTGGCAAGAGCACAATCTAGATGAGCACCGTTGGCCTTACTTCACAGAACTGGAAAAGGAGGCTCAGAGGAGCTGAGTCACCGGCTCAAGGTAACACAGCCAGTATGTGCTGGGCTGGGACATTTCAGCCTCCACCCAGCTTCCAAGGCTTGGCCTCCCCTACAGGAAGGGGAGCCAGAGGAAAGGGCCACGTGCTAAGCCCTGGGCTCTGGCGAGAGGAGGCACCACGTTTTCTGGGCTGCGCGAGGGGTTCAGGCCCTAGCGATGGAGGCTCTGCACAGGACACAGAGCGCAGAGACAGATCCTCTCCTGCACTCCTGCTGAAGGGTCTTCTCCACCCTAGGGTGGTCAGAGGGTACCACAGGCCAGGGAGGGTGGTAGAACTCTGGGAAAAGCCTAGAGGGAGAGAAGATCTGTGTGAGATCAGAGACGGCAGCAGAGGGGCAGGGGCAGCTGCCGGAGCGGCATGGCAGCCGGCAAGGCCACCAAGAATGCACTGTCAGGGCCTGGCCATGGGTAGAGCAGCCCAGCAGGCCCGGCAGATGCCAACGCTGAGCCCGCACCCAGGCCTCTTTGATCCTAGCCCCCAGATCTATGGGGTTCTTTCTGCCCCTGCACAACTGCTTTCCTATCCCAAAGCCCCCCTACCCTTCTTATAGTTTGTGTCTTGAGGGCCCCCCAAGCCTCATACAGCCTTAGCTGGGGCTTTTCAGAGGTGGTTGGATCCAGAGCGGGTGGTACTGAGACTATGGGCGTGTGATTAGTAAGTCAGTCTACTGGAGTTTGGAGCAGTTCTGGCTGGGAATAAGGGTGTGAGTGCTACAGCCACCCTAGGGCCGGGAGCCTGCATACAATACAAGGGACAGAAAGAGGTTT